GATTCGTGAGAGAGTATGAGCCGAGTTCGAGCCTGCCTCGACTCGGCTCATTAGGCTCGCGAGCCGAGCCAGGCTCGAATTAGTAGGGGTGTTTTAGGAGTTTTATTAAGTATAGGGGATTAAACCAAAATTTTAAAAACAAAAAGTTTGCAAAAATGACAAAGAACACCCCAATGTTAAAATCTCCAAAAATGCGACTAAAATCCTTTCCCCTAAAACTAAACCAGACCAAATTGTGGAGAGTGTAGGGAAAGAAGGAGAAAGAAGGAAAGAAATCAGAGTTGGTGGAGAGTGTAGTGGAAACAAGGATAAAGAATGAAAGAAAGAAAAAGAAAATAAAAAAAAAAGGAGAAAGAAGGAAAGAAAGAGAAAATTTGTATGCTTTTTACTGGTTCGCAAGGGAAACAGGGAGAAACAAAGAAAGGGAAAAAAGAAGAAGAGAGAGTCGTGAGTAGAAAGAAAGAAAGAAAGAAGGGGAAAAAAGAAGAGAGAATCGTGAGCAGAAAGAAGGAAAGAAAAGAGAAGAGAAAAAAGAAGAGGAGAGAATCATGATTCGTGAGCATTGGAGTCTGGAGAGAGTGAAAAGAAGAAAGCAATCAATGTGAAAGAGGAAGAGTAATAAATGAGAGAGAGATAAAATTATACCGAATCTTTTAAAAAAAAATTATTTGCTTTATATTGGCTCGCGAGCCAGCTCGAAATTTTTTCCTTTCTTTATGAGTCGAGCCGAGTTAGAAAATTAAAGACTCGACTCGACTCGAATTCAGCTCGAACTCTTTTTATTTTTTACGAGTCGAGCTCGTTAAGCCGAAAGCTCAGCTCGGCTCGGCTCGTTAATAGCCCTGATTAAGAGATTTCCAATTAAACCACATCAAACATAAGTGCGGAAAGTAAAGAACACAGCCATATACATGGTTCAACTAAAATCTACTTTTGGCCTACATCCATGGGACCATGTCTAGATCAAAGCAATCCACTAAGTTAAAAACACATTACAAGATATAGTTCAAAGTTGATCTAAGATATAGTAAAAAAAAACTCCCTATTCAACTTTACACTTAGAACCACACCTGAATCCTTAACGTATAGCAACTCTTTGGCCTTCTTCACACCAGGAACACACTCGAAAACAGCTTATGAACCACCAAACGTTAGGCACTGATGCCACGCACCAGCATCAGCAAAGGAACTACATTCCAAGAGTCATCAAGTCAATGAATGATATGGTGAGATTTTGGCACAAATTGGAAATGAACCTATGAACCTTGAGAGAAAGAATACTCTAAGAAATTCCAGAGTATAATAGAATAAAAGATCAAAAGGTTAGATTCAAAGATGCAAAATGAGATGATATATAGTGTAAGGTTTCTTGCTCAACACATTAGTGTCAATTTAGCCAACAAGAGGCTGACCCATGTTTGCCCAAATAAGGAAAATATTCCTTCTTTTGGTTTGAACCACAAAACAAATCGGGAAAAGAATATTCCCTAGGACCACTTAAGGATAATATAACACATGTAAAAGGTCATAAAAAGTTAGAGACAAAGATAAACAATATCTTTTTCACTTTATCAAACATGCAACTCGTGTTGGGTTGCAAATATCTTAAATGAGAGTGTAAGCACAAACTGTTGTGCACACACACTTGAAACGAAACAAGCTAAGACATAAGTCTAGCAACCAGTGTGGACACAGAGCTATTGTGCACACATAACTCAAAAGAAACAAGCCAAATCATAAAATTAGCAACCAGTGTGCACACAAAACTGTTGTGCACACACAACTCATAAGAAACAAGCCAAATCATAAGATTGGCAACCAGTGTGCACACATAACTCATAAGTTTTACAAATATGAATATTCCACAATAAGCAATTTGATATAAAAGGAATCAAACAGAATTGTAATGAAAACAAAATAAACAACCATCACATGAATATTATAGTTTCATTCACAGATTTCCAAATTGAGTAAACATTAACCACATTAATCATTTTCCATAAAGGGGGGAACTCCCCTTCAAGGAATCAACCTCGGACTGTAAACATGTATGCATACTACATAGATATTCAGTTTAATCACCAATCATATTAATTATAAAAATGGATGGTAAAGAAAAAAATTCTCATACAACACAAATTATGTAATATTATAAACGGAAGTTCATATTAGTATCTTCTAGTCGTGGTCATCAAATTTCTTCAGCCCCCATAAAATAATGTTTAAATGGCGTTTGGATCATATGTTTTATTATAGGGGTATATTATATTAACGGAAAAAAAGATCACCTTGAAGATTACTGGGAATGTTTAGCAAATGTGTTTGGTTAGTTTAAATAAATTGGTGAATAATATGTTTGTTTAGGAAGATAAATGAGTGTGTATATTATATGGATTACTAAATTGCCCTCCTTTTTAAATATTAATATAATAGTATTTTTTATTATTATTTTTTAAATCGTTTCTTTTAACCCCCCACATTTGAAGTTTTGCTAAAACACCCTAGCCATATAAAACTTTAATTTATAGCAAAATCAACTCCAACCCACCCCAAGCCACTGCCAGAACTAGCCACCACCGTCAACCATCATCGACAGTCAATGAAATGGTGCACGACTGGCCATATATGGTCAACCATGCACCTACAAAGCCGGAAATGGCCATGGTATGGCTAGATCTATAGCCATTTCACAGCCAAAGATGTGGCCGTGAAACGACCACAGATTTGGCCGTGAAAAGGCTAGATCTTTAAACGTGCCAATTCACGTCCACATCTTTGGCCGTTCATAGAAACGCCAGATCTAGCAGTTTCTGGTGCACGATCGGCCAGATCCCGCAGGTCATGCACCATTATGGCAACTGACGCTGGCGGTCGACGATGGCCTTGGGTAATTGGGGGTATTTTGTTAACTTTTAACTTTTTTAGGGCTGAGGTCTTTTAGCTAATTTCTCAAATGTAGGGGGGCTGGGTAATTGCTATTTGGTAGATATTTGAGGGCAATTGTGTCCGAAATGGTTTTTAATTAAGGGCAAAATGGGTAGAAAAATCAGATTACCCTGGTAATGTTTTAATAGCATCCCTTAACAAGGTAATAAGATTACCCCCCACATAACTAACAGCAAACACTATTTACAATAAAAAATTACCGTAATATTTTATTACTTGTAAACCGAACACCGGAATCTTGCAAAATAAATGAAGATTACCTCTGTTATCTTATATACCCCTGATCCAAATGGCCCTATATGTAACAAAGATTTTTCCTAATATTCAATATTATAATTAGATTGTTAATATCATAATCAAGTAGTCCCATCCTATCACACATGAACCAATAAACATACTAAAATACAACAATTCACAACTCTCAAAACTTAGAAGGCTTTGGATAAGGAGGGGACCCAAAGTAAGAAAACAAAACAATGAACTTTTACTTTTACTTTATTCCTTGTCTCCTGCCTAACCTTCCCATTTCCTTATTGGTTTCTTTTCAGGAGAATTTTAGAAACTACCCTTCACTTTTTGCTAATAATCAAACTTATGACATTTTAGTGGGAAATAGTCAAAAACTACCCCTGAACCGTAACACCATCCAATTCTGTTAACTTACAAGTTAATTTTTGTTTTTTGTAAAATTCAATTTTGCCGTCACTCACTAAATATGATAAAAAGATTTTCCTCTCCAATTGAATTCATCATTAGTTCACTAATCTAGCGAAATTAAGTTATATGTGTAAACGATATGTTTATTTTATTTTTTATTTTTTTTTATGCTTGTATAATAAGTTATATAAAATATTATTAGTGTATAATTTAGTTAGAATTTTGAATTAAATACTTAGAAGTGTTAGGTTTGACCAACACTCCTAAAGTATCATGACCAACTCTTCAACCCGTCGTTTTTTCTGTTACATTAGAAACTAAATCTCTAAATTCTCTTTTTGGTATCATGACCAACACTTCAACCTCTCCAACTGAAACTGTAGTTATCTCTACCCAATCCTTAAACACTCAACCTCTATCATTACCTTCATTAAGTCAACTTTTAGCCATAAAACTAGACCGAAACAAATTTTTTTGTGTGCCGTAACCAACTACTAAATGTGATTAACCTTCTCCTGATCTTCATCTTCCTAACTGTACTAAAATCAACCTACAGTATACCTTATGGCAAAGGCGTAATCCATTTTTTTGGATTGCCATCAAATAACAACTTGTCAAAATTCATATTTCATGTTTTAAAAAGCCATACATGTTGAGAGTGAGATGAAGTAAGTCATGTATCACCTACTTCCTCACTTTACTGACAAACATCCTTAGATTTGACTTCTCCATGAGTTTTTGTTGTTTAATGTCACTGCATATAACATCATCATGTGAGCCATTCACAGAATTTTTCCAAACCTAATTTTGACTTAAGCGTCACAAGTTTTATAAGAAAATTGTCAAATATTTGAAAAATAATATCTATAGAAGTATTAAACTTGGCTTATGACAATAACTTCCAAAGATGAGATTATGCTATTATGCATGGATCCAAATGCAAGTAGAATGATAAGGAAGACGAGCCACAACACACTTACTATAAGCAACAATAACCTGCATAAAACAAATTCTACATTACAGGAGGTTCATTAACGCACACATAATACCTACATACAAGGGCTTCAACGACTGTTAATTTTTTTCAAAATAAAACTCACTTTTTATTGATGTTTGATTTTGACACCAACTATTCGCACGTGAGAAATGCTAAGCGGACTTAGAAGTCACACGCGATATGAGAATATTTAATTAAATAAAGAGTGAAAGACAATGTTTAAAGTGGTTCAGATGCTCAAAAGCAAATCCTACGTCCACTGATATTGTATTAATGAGAGTAAGGTCAGGTTGCATTCAGTGAGTTGAGTTACAGCTTAGAGAATACAAGAGAGAGAGAGAGAGAGAGAGAGAGTAAGCTATTCCAGAGTGAAATTAGCTAATCCCGTAAATGAGAGTGAATACCTCTATTTATAGTGGGATAAACTAAGGTAATGATTACTAAATCTGCAAGTGGGTAGGTACCATGCAAATCATTCTCTATGTCCCATTGCTCACCTACCCAAATAATTTCCTCGACTTTTGCAGAGATTAGACACATGGACGATTTCCAACCATTCGCTAACCTGGCACTCACCCATTGCACTGACAGTGGCATGCCACATGTATCATTATGCGACGTGGCCCCGTCTGAACAGTCGTAGAACCTTCTCAAGTTCTGACCACCCACGCTAACAAGACTCCACGTCAGCCTACGTTTTCAAGCATAAAACTTTTATTTATTCATGACTTGTGATTCACCTCAAATGTGATACAATATGATAGCATGATAACAACACACAAACAGAGAAACGAATCTAACAGAAAAAACGAATGGTAGAGACTTACAGGAAAATCGAGATTGGAGTGCTGTCGGGACTAACGAGATCGACACGAAGAAGAGATTTTCTGGCGGTGGAGATAGAGGAAAAGGCTAGACGGAACCACCCATGGTTAGTCTTACAGTTGTAAAAAACCAAGTAAACGAATATAATAGAAAAACGACGGGTAGAGACTTACCGGAAAAGTGAGATCGAAGTGTTGTCGGGACGAAGGAGATCAACACGAAGAAGAGACCTTCCAACGACGTAGATGGAGGAAAACAACTGACGAAGTTTCCTTGGTTAGTGTTATGGTTGCAAAAAAACCAACACACGAATATAACACAAAAACGATGGGGACGAACTTACTGGAAAAGCAAGATCAGAGTGCTATCGGGATGAACCAAATCGAGAAGAAAAGTTTGGTTCAACAGCAGAGATGGAGTATAATGGCAGAAGGAATTGCGATTTCATGATTTAGAATCGCAAAAAAAAAAATATGTTTATATTGTAAATTAATTGAAAACCAAGGGCATATAAGTCACAAAATAAAAAATGTTGAGGATAATATGGGTACACCAACATTTGATGGCATTACTGTAAATAATAACAATAACTAGGGCAATATTGTACGGAATATTTAAAAGTGAGTACAAAACTGTTTACTTACTAATTTGGGTGTTTTGTAATTATTAATAAAGCAAAAAATATTTCCGTCCAAATGGTCTATTGTTTTGGAGCATAATTGGAAACAAAATTGGATTGTGGGGAAAGTTTTAATAGAGGGTCCCCCTAGGTATTCTTATTTTGGCTAATTTACCCCCCAAAAACAAATTTGTTTCTCATAATCCATTTTTATAAATTAACTAAACATCATCATCTGCTCAATTTAAAAAATATTACCTTCGTTATCTAATATCACCCCATCCAAGTGCACCCTTAAAGGTAAAATTATAACGAAATTAAGATTAATTTTATGTAAAATGAAGGGCATTTCTATCCAAAAAAAAAATATATTTATAAAGTCATAAAAGTCATTTCGCACAATTGGACTAATTGTCATTTGGTAGAAATTTAAGGGTAAAATATGTATGAAATTCAGATTATTCTGATAATCTTTTAATAACACCCTCTGAGATGATAATTTGATTACCCCATATTTTATGAATAGTAAACATTATTCGTATTAAAAAATTATCGGAATATTTTATTACTTGACAAAAGATAATCTTGAAAATTAAAGAAAAACTACAGGAGTAATCTTCCTATACCCCTAACCAAATGCAACGTAAGGGTTATTTTGTAAATGGATGGTTTTTATTTAGACATTGTATATATGCTGAAAAATTTTAATGGGGTAAATTTAGAGATGGGGTTTATTAAGATAAATTGTAGAGGGTTTATTAAGATAAATTATAGAGGGCCAATACCGCCACTCTACTTTTAATCATAGAAAGGGTAAATGACCTCAATGCCCTCACTTGATATGCCCATCAATCACAAATGACCCCATTTACTTTCACTTCATCTCCAGTAGCCTACAATACCCATGTTAGGCTTAAAATTATTAAATTATATAAATATCACAAATTTTAATAAGAAAATAAAAAATCTAAAAAATGTCCGAAAATGGAAAAAGAATTTGGAAAAGTGAAAAGAATAAGTAATATACGAAAAAGATAAACAATAAATTAGAAAACTTACTTTCTAAAAAGTTAAAAATTCATACAAATCTGAAAAAAAAAAATGAACTTGATAAATATGTTTTAGATTTTAGCTTCTTTTTATTCAGTTTTAGTAGTGTTTCTTATTTTTCTTTTTTCTTTTTTTAAGTATTCTTAATTTTTCAAAATCTTTAACAATTTTTTAATCCTTTTTTTATTTTGTATTTGTGATTTTAGTTGAAGGATTTGTATTATTTAATTTAATTTTTTTTTTTATTTCTTACTAGTTATTTGACCTTCTTTATTTAAAAATGAGTTGTTAATAAATTTTAGGGTATATTAGTCAAGTTCAAAATACAATTGAGGATTCTGTTTGGTGAAATTCGGTCAACTCTCATATTTGTTGGGGTTTATGTGGTAGTTTAGAGAGTTTTTGGGACATCAACGTTTTACAAGTTTTACGGGGTGTACATGTATTAACCCTTAGTAATTTAAAAAACTTAGGTCATTTTACTCTTTTACCCTTGATTCAGTTAAAACTAGCTGAAGAAACTTTAAGGGGCTGGCGGTAGAGGGTTTAGAGTAATTACCAGTACCACAGGGGGTTTAAAGGATTTGGCCAAACCTCGGGGGTTTTAAATACTAACTCCTTTTTTTGGTCCTTCTTGGTTCAAATTATTATTGGGTAGTCATTTGACTTAATAAAATATTAGTTGATTGTTAAATTTATACTGAAATGACAAAAAATACCTGTCTTTTAATGTCTTTTTTCTAATTTAGTGTTGTTTAAGTAAAATTTTTTTTTTTCTAAAACGGATATTTTTATCAGTTCAATACAAATATAACAGTCAATTAACATTTTACTAAGTCAAATGACTAAAACAGTAGTAATTTTAAACAAGAAGAACCAACATTAATATTTGAAACAATTGGACTAGATAAAACAATTGGACTAGAACAAAAATTAATTTAAAAAAAAAAAAAAGGGAAAGAACTGAAGCAACAGACCAAAAAAGAATTATATCCGAGTTTTGTTTGTTTTTGAATTTGGTCATGTCTAGATAAAAATTTCATATAACTGTTTTACAAATTTGTGCTCATATTTATGAATGTAATCATGAGTTACCATATTTATGTCATTCTATAATTTTTGTTTTATAAATCATTATATTTATTGATCATAATCAAAATCATAGATTAGTATTAAATTGCTTTATTTTAAAAGTATATCAATTCATCCGTAATTAAAAGTTAATATTAGATTAATAATTATAAAATTATTTGTATTTAATAGATAATATAAATATAATTAAATGACTTTATAATTATGTAAAAAGGTTTTAAAAGTATTAGCGCCCTTTGCTGGAAATTGGCGGTGTCACTAAAGCACGTCTAGCAACACAACCCATATCAAAATGGGGCTCTCATAATGATTTTATCAATTTGCGCAAGTTTTATTGAAAGATAAAAGACATGTTTGGTACATTATTTGAAATAGTATTTTATTTTGAATAGGATATAATTGGATTAAGTCAAATATGATAGAATTCTGAGAATGTCTTTGGTATATTTTTTAAAAACATTATCTAAAAATATTTAATTATCACCCTCTACATTTGTTAATTTAGCTAAACACACCCCCATCCCCCCCTCTTTTACAATAAAAGTTTATAAATTAATAAATACACTTCACCCACCCACCCGACTGTCGGCAGCCAACCACCATCGTCAGACAGTGGCCGACAGTCGCTGGAATGGCGCACAACTAGCCAATCATGCTCCGATCTGACCTTTTTAGGCTGGATTCACCATAAATCTAGTCGAAAACGGCCAGAATCTAGCCGTCATTGACAACCAAGATATGACTGTTGTCAACAGCTAGTTAGATTTGGTTGTAGATCTTGGATCTAGCCAAAAACAGCCATATCGGCGCATGATCGACTAGATCCCACCGAGTGTCCGTCGTTCTGACGCCGACGATTGGCGATGGCAGTGGCGGCAACTAGCAGCCAACGGTGATTTCTAGCGGGCAATTGTGGCTTGGGTGGGTGGGTGGGATTGTTTTTATTAATTTATAAATTTTTATTGTGAAAGATAATTATTAAATATTTTGAGTTTAATAGAATATGATTGAATTTTAAATAGAATAGCCAATATTAAAACAAACACGTTTTCCACTGTTTAAGATAAGATAGTATAATAGAATAAAGTTTGAAAAGTTAAACAAACAGGGGAATATTGTTTTGCCATCGGAGAAGAAAGTAATTATCACTATTTATCTGTCCTCTTCTGGCTAAATACTAATTTTTTTTTTCCGGTGAAAGTTATATGGATACATACATGTAATATATTGTCTACCTAGTAATTCTTTAAGAATATATGATAAAATCAATTAAATAACTTTTGCAGACATATATACATAGAGGTGTAAGATCCGAAAATTCTAATTTTACTTCATATAAATATATACACAAAATATTTGATATACTTTAATAAGTACAAGGTAGTCTTGGACAGTGCCGCCAAACTCCTCTGCTTCTTAACGTCTCACCCGATCGTAAATCATCAAGTACCTGCAACACAGTAGAATAACAGAGTGAGCACTAATTGCTCAGTAAGTAAACCAAACTACACTACTGTTTTTCCTCCATTACTTAGGTTCTGATTTTCCTTTTCTCACTTTAATCTTTGATAATATTCTTCATTCTTTTCTGATATTCTGCATTCTTTTCTGATACTCTGATTTGCTACTTATCAACGTGCAAATACAATGAATAAAAATGTACATCGTCGAGCACATAAGAAATATTGAATCATGTAAGTAGCATAATACATATGCAGAATAATAAACTGTACTGAGAAAATAACTTTCTTTTCTTTTCTATTATTTGTATCTTATGTTGTATCTCTTTCTTTTCTTCTCTGATTCTGTTTCTTTTCTTTCTTCTATTATGGTTTGCCGATTGGCCTAGGTTGATGCATGCATTTGGAACCCTGGCCATGTGAGTGGGTACAGTCCTCATCTACATGCACTGCTGACGAACTGTACAAATGTTGTATCTCTCTTAAATCTTTTCTTATTCTTCCCTTCTCTATTGCTGGAGGTATCAAATCTGTCTCTCTGTGGAGCGGGAGGTGGAATACTAGGCATTACTGCTGATGGAGTCAATGGAGCCAACTTATTCACAAATACTTGATAATCATATTTTACACTGTGATTTTGCATTGAATTTTGATAGGATTTAGGATACTTTTCATACAATTTGGACCATAATTGCTACCTAATTCTATTAATTTGTCTTTGCAGGCCTAAACGATGATTTTGAGCATAAATGACAGTTTTGAGCGTAAATTGTGTAACTTGAGCTTGGAAACTCAGAATGACCTGAATTTAGAAGCTTTGGAAAGCTAAGAAGAAGAGCTACAACTTTTATGTTTTGGGTTTTTCCTAATTCTGATTCGACAAGGGTGGAAACTGGCCTTGAAGTCGTGAAAAGTACACTGGGAACTGAAGAAAAACGTCTTTGGATGTGCTTCAGTATTTCTGCCATAACTTGATCTGTAGACCTATGATTGTGCTGATTCCTGAACTATCAGAAAGATAATTTAAAGGGCTACAATTCATATGTTTAACACTTTTCCAGATTCAAACTCTATCATGCTCAAAATTTTCCTGAAAGTCCTCGCCGTGGCGAAGAAAAAGCTTCGCCGCGGTGAAACCTGCATCAGCTGTAAAAATAAAACGACGTGTTTTGACTTGCTAGGGTTTGGTCCT